GCACAAGTGTCATGATAGCATGTGTGTTATCCCACTGTTTGGGAACAAGTGTCGTGATAGCATGTGTGTTATCCCACTGTATGGGAACAAGTGTCATGATAGCATGATAGCATGTGTGTTATCCCACTGTATGGTAACAAGTGTCATGATAGCATATGTGTTATCCCACTGTATAGGCACAAGTGTCATGATAGCATGTGTGTTATCCAACTTGTCACCAGGTTTATGGTTTACCTTAAATCGCTGTATAGGCACAAGTGTCATGATAACATGTGTGTTATCCAACTTGTCTCCAGGTTTATGGTTCCCTTTAAATCGCTGTATGAGAGCAAGTGTCATGACAGCATGTGTCTTATCCAACTTGTCACTGGATTATGGTTCACCTTAAGTCGCTGTATAGGGACAAGTGTCATGAGAGCATGAGTGTTATCCCACTGTATGGGAACAAGTGTCATGATAGCATGAGTGTTATCCCAACTTGTCACTGGGAACAAGGGTCATGATAGGGACAAGTGTCATGATAGCATGTGTGTTATCCCACTGTATAGGCACAAGTGTCATGATAGCATGTGTGTTATCCCACTGTATGGGAACAAGGGTCATGATAGCATGTGTGTTATCCCACTGTATAGGAACAAGGGTCATGATAGCATGTGTGTTATCCCACTGTATGGGAACAAGTGTCATGATAGCATGTGTGTTATCCCACTGTATGGGAACAAGGGTCATGATAGCATGTGTGTTATCCCACTGTATGGGGAACAAGGTCATGATAGCATGTGTGTTATCCCACTGTATAGGCACAAGTGTCATGACTGCATGTGTGTTATCCCACTGTATGGGAACAAGTGTCATGATAGCATGTGTGTTATCCCACTGTATAGGCACAAGTGTCATGACAGCATGTGTGTTATCCCACTGTATGGGAACAAGTGTCATGATAGCATGTGTGTTATCCCACTGTATGGGAACAAGTGTCATGATAGCATGTGTGTTATCCCACTGTATGGGAACAAGTGTCATGATAGCATGTGTGTTATCCCACTGTATGGGAACAAGTGTCATGATAGCATGTGTGTTATCCCACTGTATAGGCACAAGTGTCATGACAGCATGTGTGTTATCCCACTGTATGGGAACAAGTGTCATGATAGCATGTGTGTTATCCCACTGTATAGGCACAAGTGTCATGACAGCATGTGTGTTATCCCACTGTATGGGAACAAGGGTATGATAGCATGAGTGTTATCCCACTGTATGGGAACAAGGGTCATGATAGCATGTGTGTTATCCCACTGTATAGGCACAAGTGTCATGATAGCATGTGTGTTATCCCACTGTATGGGAACAAGTGTCATGATAGCATGTGTGTTATCCCACTGTATAGGCACAAGTGTCATGATAGCATGTGTGTTATCCCACTGTATGGGAACAAGTGTCATGATAGCATGTGTGTTATCCCACTGTTTCAAGTTCGCTGTATGGGAATAAGTGTCTAATAGCATGTGTGTTATCACACTGTATGGGAACAAGTGTCATGATCGCATGTGTGTTATCCCACTGTTTCAAGGTCGTTGTATGGGAATAAGTGTCATGACAGCATGTGTGTTATCCCACTGTTGCAAGTTCGCTGTATGGGAATAAGTGTCATGATAGCATATGTGTTAGCCCACTGTATGGTAACAAGGGTCATGATAGCATGAGTGTTATCCCACTGTATGGTAACAAGTGTCATGACAGCATGTGTGTTATCCCACTGTATAGGCACAAGTGTCATGATAGCATGTGTGTTATCCCACTGTTTGGGAACAAGTGTCGTGATAGCATGTGTGTTATCCCACTGTATGGGAACAAGGGTCATGATAGCATGTGTGTTATCCCACTGTATGGTAACAAGTGTCATGATAGCATATGTGTTATCCCACTGTATAGGCACAAGTGTCATGACAGCATGTGTGTTATCCAACTTGTCACCAGGTTTATGGTTTACCTTAAATCGCTGTATAGGCACAAGTGTCATGATAACATGTGTGTTATCCAACTTGTCTCCAGGTTTATGGTTCCCTTTAAATCGCTGTATGAGAGCAAGTGTCATGACAGCATGTGTCTTATCCAACTTGTCACTGGATTATGGTTCACCTTAAGTCGCTGTATAGGGACAAGTGTCATGAGAGCATGAGTGTTATCCCACTGTATGGGAACAAGTGTCATGACAGCATGTGTGTTATCCAACTTGTCACTGGATTATGGTTCACCTTAAGTCGCTGTATAGGGACAAGTGTCATGATAGCATGTGTGTTATCCCACTGTATGGGAACAAGGGTCATGATAGCATGAGTGTTATCCCACTGTATGGGAACAAGGGTCATGATAGCATGTGTGTTATCCCACTGTATAGGCACAAGTGTCATGATAGCATGTGTGTTATCCCACTGTATGGGAACAAGGGTCATGATAGCATGTGTGTTATCCCACTGTATGGGAACAAGGGTCATGATAGCATGTGTGTTATCCCACTGTATGGGAACAAGGGTCATGATAGCATGTGTGTTATCCCACTGTATAGGCACAAGTGTCATGACTGCATGTGTGTTATCCCACTGTATGGGAACAAGTGTCATGATAGCATGTGTGTTATCCCACTGTATAGGCACAAGTGTCATGACAGCATGTGTGTTATCCCACTGTATGGGAACAAGTGTCATGATAGCATGTGTGTTATCCCACTGTATGGGGAACAAGTGTCATGATAGCATGTGTGTTATCCCACTGTATGGGAACAAGTGTCATGATAGCATGTGTGTTATCCCACTGTATAGGGAACAAGTGTCATGATAGCATGTGTGTTATCCCACTGTATAGGCACAAGTGTCATGACAGTATGTGTGTTATCCCACTGTATGGGAACAAGTGTCATGATAGCATGTGTGTTATCCCACTGTATAGGCACAAGTGTCATGACAGCATGTGTTTATCCCACTGTATGGGAACAAGGGTATGATAGCATGAGTGTTATCCCACTGTATGGGAACAAGGGTCATGATAGCATGTGTGTTATCCCACTGTATAGGCACAAGTGTCATGATAGCATGTGTGTTATCCCACTGTATGGGAACAAGTGTCATGATAGCATGTGTGTATCCCACTGTATAGGCACAAGTGTCATGATAGCATGTGTGTTATCCCACTGTATGGGGAACAAGTGTCATGATAGCATGTGTGTATCCCACTGTATGGGAACAAGTGTCATGATAGCATGTGTGTTATCCCACTGTATGGGAACAAGTGTCATGATAGCATGTGTGTTATCCCACTGTATAGGCACAAGTGTCATGACAGCATGTGTGTTATCCCACTGTATAGGAACAAGGGTCATGATAGCATGTGTGTTATCCCACTGTATGGGAACAAGTGTCATGATAGCATGTGTGTTATCCCACTGTATGGGAACAAGTGTCATGATAGCATGTGTGTTATCCCACTGTATAGGCACAAGTGTCATGACAGCATGTGTGTTATCCCACTGTATGGGAACAAGTGTCATGATAGCATGTGTGTTATCCCACTGTATAGGCACAAGTGTCATGACAGCATGTGTGTTATCCCACTGTATGGGAACAAGGGTGTGATAGCATGAGTGTTATCCCACTGTATGGGAACAAGGGCCATGATAGCATGTGTGTTATCCCACTGTATAGGCACAAGTGTCATGATAGCATGTGTGTTATCCCACTGTATGGGAACAAGGGTCATGATAGCATGTGTGTTATCCCACTGTATGGGAACAAGTGTCATGATAGCATGTGTGTTATCCCACTGTATAGGCACAAGTGTCATGACAGCATGTGTGTTATCCCACTGTATGGGAACAAGTGTCATGATAGCATGTGTGTTATCCCACTGTATGGGAACAAGTGTCATGATAGCATGTGTGTTATCCCACTGTATAGGCACAAGTGTCATGACAGCATGTGTGTTATCCCACTGTATGGGAACAAGGGTCATGATAGCATGTGTGTTATCCCACTGTATGGGAACAAGTGTCATGATAGCATGTGTGTTATCCCACTGTATGGGAACAAGTGTCATGATAGCATGTGTGTTATCCCACTGTATAGGCACAAGTGTCATGACAGCATGTGTGTTATCCCACTGTATGGGAACAAGTGTCATGATAGCATGTGTGTTATCCTACTGTATAGGCACAAGTGTCATGACAGCATGTGTGTTATCCCACTGTATGGGAACAAGGGTGTGATAGCATGAGTGTTATCCCACTGTATGGGAACAAGGGCCATGATAGCATGTGTGTTATCCCACTGTATAGGCACAAGTGTCATGATAGCATGTGTGTTATCCCACTGTATGGGAACAAGGGTCATGATAGCATGTGTGTTATCCCACTGTATGGGAACAAGGGTCATGATAGCATGTGTGTTATCCCACTGTATGGGAACAAGGGTCATGATAGCATGTGTGTTATCCCACTGTATAGGCACAAGTGTCATGACTGCATGTGTGTTATCCCACTGTATGGGAACAAGTGTCATGATAGCATGTGTGTTATCCCACTGTATAGGCACAAGTGTCATGACAGCATGTGTGTTATGCCACTGTATGGGAACAAGTGTCATGATAGCATGTGTGTTATCCCACTGTATGGGAACAAGTGTCATGATAGCATGTGTGTTATCCCACTGTATGGGAACAAGTGTCATGATAGCATGTGTGTTATCCCACTGTATGGGAACAAGTGTCATGATAGCATGTGTGTTATCCCACTGTATAGGCACAAGTGTCATGACAGCATGTGTGTTATCCCACTGTATGGGAACAAGTGTCATGATAGCATGTGTGTTATCCCACTGTATAGGCACAAGTGTCATGACAGCATGTGTGTTATCCCACTGTATGGGAACAAGTGTCATGATAGCATGTGTGTTATCCCACTGTATGGGAACAAGTGTCATGATAGCATGTGTGTTATCCCACTGTTTCAGGTTTGCGTTAAGGACTTGGAGTGCGGACGTTTCCCACGTTGTTTGGTTTCACGTGTGCGTCCTATCCCATGACCGTGGTGTGATTACATGAATGTGCAGCTTTCAAAAGGAAGTATTTAGTTTAAACAATGAAACAAAGCATGTATGACACGAGGATATTACTTGACAGATATCGGTTGTCGTGTCACTGCTGTCCCGACTTCTATCCAGCTGGAGAAGGGCATGGGTTTGCCCTTTAATTTCCGAGAACAATTAAAATACCACTTTTATAACATGGTCCTAAGTGGATATCTATATTTGTGTTGTTTAATCTGAACGGTAATAATGTACTAAGTATACAACAATGCTTGTGAAATTATCTTGATTTGGTTTTATTGAATAACATGTTATTCATTTCTTGCGCTTTGTACATGTAGATGATCATGAGAGAAAAGGAAGTGATCCATTCAGTCACACGAGACATTGAACTTAGACATTGATCCATCATTGTTATTGTGATAATTGACTTTCCCGCAAGAACTGAACGAAATTCTGTATTAGTTTTAGTGGTCCGAAACACTATATGTTGTAAACAGTGACGCCTGAGTTATCGAAGAACAAGAAAAACCAAGGCCTCCTTTGTTATATACTCATAAGCTATACTGCATGATACATGATAACCCCTGTTCTGAATGCATAACGAGACATTATATAAGAAACGAATTATGGTCCGAATTGTGTTTAGATGTTACAAGTTATAGTGTATTATATAAACACCGAAGTATGGTCCGAACTGTGTTTAGATGTTACAAGTTATAGTGTATTATATAAAAACGGAATGATGGTCCGAACTGTGTTTAGATGTTACAAGTTATAGTGTATTATATAAAAACGGAATGATGGTCCGAACTGTGTTTAGATGTTACAAGTTATAGTGTATTATATAAACACCGAAGTATGGTCCGAACTGTGTTTAGATGTTACAAGTTATAGTGTATTATATAAACACCGAAGTATGGTCCGAACTGTGTTTAGATGTTACAAGTTATAGTGTATTATATAAACACCGAAGTATGGTCCGAACTGTGTTTAGATGTTACAAGTTATAGTGTATTATATAAACACCGAAGTATGGTCCGAACTGTGTTTAGATGTTACAAGTTATAGTGTATTATATAAACACCGAAGTATGGTCCGAACTGTGTTTAGATGTTACAAGTTATAGTGTATTATATAAACACCGAAGTATGGTCCGAACTGTGTTTAGATGTTACAAGTTATAGTGTATTATATAAACACCGAAGTATGGTCCGAACTGTGTTTAGATGTTACAAGTTATAGTGTATTATATAAACACCGAAGTATGGTCCGAACTGTGTTTAGATGTTACAAGTTATAGTGTATTATATAAACACCGAAGTATGGTCCGAACTGTGTTTAGATGTTACAAGTTATAGTGTATTATATAAACACCGAAGTATGGTCCGAACTGTGTTAAGATGTTACAAGTTATAGTGTATTATATAAACACCGAAGTATGGTCCGAACTGTGTTTAGATGTTACAAGTCATAGTGTATTATATAAACACCGAAGTATGGTCCGAACTGTGTTTAGATGTTACAAGTTATAGTGTATTATATAAACACCGAATATGGTCCGAACTGTGTTTAGATGTTACAAGTTATAGTGTATTATATAAACACCGAATGATGGTCCGAACTGTGTTTAGATGTTACAAGTTATAGTGTATTATATAAACACCGAAGTATGGTCCGAACTGTGTTTAGATGTTACAAGTTATAGTGTATTATATAAACACCGAAGTATGGTCCGAACTGTGTTAAGATGTTACAAGTTATAGTGTATTATATAAACACCGAAGTATGGCCCGAACTGTGTTTAGATGTTACAAGTTATAGTGTATTATATAAACACCGAAGTATGGTCCGAATTGTGTTTAGATGTTACAAGTTATAGTGTATTATATAAACACCGAATGATGGTCCGAATTGTGTTTAGATGTTACAAGTTATAGTGTATTTTAAGCATTTGGGCATATAAAATACCGGTCAAAAGAACGTACACCCGTGTGATGGCTGAACCGACAAATGTGTCCCAGGTCGATGGTGGTACTTGTAGCATAGTTGTGTCGTCGTGCATGTTCGTCGTGCCTGTTGCAGTGTTTGGGAAGCAAGTTTCACAGAAGTTGCGTTTCACGACCTGTGTACGTTTTGGGTTAAATCTATATTGTAACCCATAGCTAGTAATGGCCAAAACATCATGCTTGGGTACAGATGATTAGCAGCACGAGGAACTGGTTACTTTGAGTTGTTCCGTTTGCGTGTGACAATTCAAACATTTCACCACAAGCCATATCAAGTTGGTAGGAGTGAGTAAGGTTTTACGCCGCGTGTAGAAATATTCCAGCAATATCACGACTGGGTACATCAAAAGGACTTACCACATTGTACCCATGGGGGAGCCTGGTTTACTTTAACCACTAGGCTACCCCTCCACCCCAACGTTTGTAGGAGAGCGATGACTAGTTCGATGGTGTAGTGGGTCGTAGCTGCGCCGGCGCTGCAATGATGTCAATACTTCACTGGGGCGGTGGGGTAACCTAGTGGTTAAAGCGTCCGTTCGTCGCGCCGAAGACCCGGGTTCGAATCCCCACATGGGCACAATGTGTGAAGCCCATTTCTGGTGTCCCCTGCCGTGATATTGATGGAATATTGCTAAAAGCGGCGTAAAACCATACTTACTCACTCACTCACTCAATACTTCACTTGCGTCTACTGCAGATGTCGTCATTACAGCTGATATGAGTGCCAGTGTAACCGTTGTAGTAGTGGTAATATGTTGTCATCATGGAAGAAAATAAACTTTCAATGAATTTTAATCTTTACATTTCATTGCATGATGTAACTGATATGATAGAAAGATGAATACATCCATTCCGATCCACACGTAGTAGTATGATGTAGACATGTGGCTACCATGAATTCTAACTGTAAATGGTCTGAGAGGATTGTCTAGCTATATTTTACGTTCACTTAAAGGTCACATGCAACGCAAAACACAACTTTGCAGATTCTGATACCTTTCGGTATGGACTTACCGAAACAAATCGTCAAAAATGCAAATTCAACTTATAAAGTTGAAAAATAACGCGATGAAAAAAACCGCGCGAAATCGGAGTTCAAACGTTTCACTAATTTTCCCAGACTTTTCTGGGGAAAACGGGTTTCAACAGCTGGGCTGCGCTTATAGCACGTGCGCAGTGAAGTAGGTTCGCGCAGCTTGGAAGCGGTTGTCCGGTGAATACTCGGTGAAGGCTTTGGTGTGAGCTATTTTTCTAATATTTTCTTGATATCTCACAGGCGCGAACTTTTTATATGTTATGACAGTAAACTAACTGTTTATATAATTTCATTTGTCTATTTCACCACACGTTCTTCTTACCGAGTCACTTTCTCAGTTCGATACTTAAAAGCAATGTCATTATTTAGCGTTGACAGAATTTCCAACTGTGATATAGATATGTCGTTGTCACAGACTAAACTCAATGTCTTGTTTTATTGACACCTGTGTGTCTGCCTGCCTGTCTGCTAATGACAATATTCAATACACAGCTGCTATCACTGACCACATACAATTTGAATATAACACCAATCAGGCTATACACCATAAACAAAATGCATTGATTTATGGCCCGAGTTCGGTCTCTGTCACATTATGTAATTACACAGACAGGCAGGCGTGATACTTGAACACATGACATGTTATGATGTCTGTTGATTGCAAAATCTTATACACAAAAAAATGAGCATGTATTTACAAAACCCAACATCTCTATATATACACACACAATTAGCCGTGAGGGCATCTGCAAATGAACCAGCCGTTACACTTGAGTGAACACCCACCCGCTCTGACTGGGTTCGGTATCCCGGCTGCTTCGTTTCTTGGGAAGTAAACCGAAGTACACAATATTGCACTTTTGATTTGCGATTGTACGCTTATAATTTTGTTTATATGTTTTTTCATAACCAGCAATGTATATTATATGTCATGAATAAGTGATAATTGTGTTTTAATTATGTTTGATTTTTTTGGTTGCATGTGACCTTTAAAGGAGGCCAGAGATTTTGTAAAGTGAATAGAACTTCCTCATTGGTAACGATCCCCAATGAACGCTGACACCGCTATAGTGATGCAGAGCGGCGCTGTAATAATGACCTATTTAGATCTGGCGTTGCGATTACCACTCTGACCAGACTGGGATCCTGTCTTCTATGACCTTGCACATGCAGTAAATACAATGCGGTGAGCATATGAAGAATGAGACAGGTCAACTTAACTGATCAAAGCAACATCCGGATTACATTTTGCATATTTCAGCATTCATCTCTGTCGCGATTTTCTCCATACGTGAGTGTCGTCATGCATGGAGACTGCAAGAGATCAGATTTGTGGGAGGGGCTGTTGGTCACGTGACGAATGAGGGCGGGATCACGCGATCAAGGACGCTTAGCGCATCTCACAATGAGCGTCACCAGGAATACAAACACCATAAGGATAAGCAATTGTGTAATTCATTACCTTGTTTTTATATATTTACCGCGAAACACATAAACTGCCTTGACTTTATTATAATCGCATCATTAATGAATCCAAAATGTTACAAATGTTACATATAATAATTAGGATTGGTCCCCATGCCAGTCACCAATCTGGGTTTTCGACTCTGGGATAACTCGGAGATAGATCTGGTTTTCATACTGTTTAAACCAGGGAGATGTCATGGCGTCGGATGCTGGTGATAATGTCATCCAATTGGTTGTCGATAAATGCCAGGTCTCCCTGGCGTTACAGGGGCCATGGAGGCTGCTTATTGAGACTTACTATGTAGTGGAGAAGAAGGTATAGCAGTTAGGACTAGGCATGACCCTGATATAGAAATACACCTAATCTGGTCAAGGGCATGTGTATATACAAAATATGCTTTCTCAAACATGCATGAGTCTTATCAGGGAGATTACTTTGAATGATATAGTCACATATACGAGTGATTATACACAACATATTTATGGTGTGTTTTGTCTCAAATCTTTCTTCCAATGCTGACTGAGTGACTGAGTTTAGTTTTACGCCGCACTCAGCAATATTCCAGCTATATGGCGGCGGTCTGTAAATAATCGAGTCTGGACCAGACAATCCAGTGATCAACAGCATGCCCATCGATCTGCGCAATTGGGAACAGATGACATGTGTCAACCAATTTTCTACCAATATGTGAATAAGTAACAGTTGATACAAAAGCCAAGGGGATTCTGACGTTTTAAGGCAAAATATTTTCGCCGATCGTCATAATCCGATACACAGACAATAGAATTGATCGTGTATATCGTTGTTGCAGTCGTCACGTGTCTGTAGCTCAGAGTATCTACCAATTAGAAATGAAATGCATTTCCGACGAGACATCCAAACAAAACGAAACAAAACATGATAAATGAGTAGGTAAGAATGTGATGTCCACGTTTGGCCCTCCAACACTTAGGTGAGCGACCTACAGCTATATACTGCATATGTTAGCGTCTTATGTAAAGGTACTATATATCGGCTTCATAGTCTTGTTTTCATACGACCTTTCAAAACATTTCCCAAATCACCCGACGAAGGATGAAGATGAGTACTATGGAAACCGAAAGCAAACACCGGTGGTTTTAC